TCATAATTTAGGTCAAATAAGCAGTTATCACCTTGATTGAAACTTAGTTAATAACTCACGTATGGACTTTTGAAATCAAAGGTAAATGAAGGCAAAAGGAGAGATAAAACATAAAATTCTCAAAAATTATTGAAAAGATAAAACAAATCTTTGCAACGACCAAACCAAGGTTTAGAACTCTCGTGGGGATAAAAATCTAGCAAAATCAAGATTTAACGCTTCATGTTAACCTATAAATTCTCATAAAATTATTGAAGAGAGGAAAAAAAATCCTTGCAAAGACCAACAAACGTTTAGAACTCTCGTGAGGATAGAAATTTAGCAAAATCACGATTTGACGCTTCATGTTAACTTATAAGTCAAAATAAATTTTATAAACCAGTTTTGGTAATGAATTCTATTAACATCAAACATTTAAGAAACTTAATTATAATCAATCAATAAATTTAAAGCCTATAAACATATTAAAGTAATATGAAAATATAAAATTAACATGCAATAAGTGTAATTAGCATGAAAAATGAAATAAAAACATTTTTTTAGCTACCAACTCAAATAGCTAACAACAGAAAAAGAAAAAAAAATCAAAACAATTTTATCAAAAATTCATTTTATTTATTTATTTATTGCAAAAACATATATGTCTTTTTAACCTCTTTCCCCGTTGGTAAACAATTCCATTCTATCTGTTATGCTATGACAATTTAAAAACAAAAGAGAAGTAAGTTCCAAAATCCAATAAAAAGTAGAATTCAGTGGCGTTGACCAAGTGAACTAAGAAAAGAATGTGTAAGCTAGTAAGTATATACTTGGACCAAGAGCCTGAAAATTGCAAAAAAAAAAAAAAAAAAAAAAAAAAAAAAAAACTACTCCTACTACTTTTACAGTCTCCGTCAAGAAATTAACAGGACTATAATCGAATTTCCAATCTTTTGTTAATATAACTAATATAGGCTACAACATAACAATAATATATATATATATATATAAAATTTACATATCAAATTAATTCGTTTATAAAAATAAATAAATAAAAGAAAATCACCACGAGAGACCGATTATGTTAGAAAGTTATATAAAACCATTCCCATAATCACCTACTAACTTAAATTTTTGAGTTGAAATGATTTTTTCATATAGTATTAAAATTTTATTAACTAAGTAATCACGAATTCATATCTCACCATTCATATTTCTTTTCCAATTAATCAACTACAAGATAGTGATATGTTGTGCAAGTTTAAAGTATAATCTTCATTTGAAAGAATATGTTAGTCATTTAAAATTATTCCTTAAACCTCGTCTAATAGCTTAATTTTTGTGGGTTGAAATAGTTTTTTGATAGACTAAGATGCAATCACCAACAACAAAAACAAGTTATTTGCTGAAATTTTTGAGGAGCATACAACCATTTCATAACAAAATAAAAATGATAATTATGTATGCTCTTTTGATGACAAAATAAAAACCACGTTTTTACCAAAAAATAATGAAACAATCCAATATAATAACATGAACAATAAATTTTCTATCATGTTTGCTACTTTCATGACAAAATAAAAATCACATCTTCACTAAAAAAAATGATAAAAATCTCACACAATAACATCAGCAATATTTTTTAGAAGGATATTTTAAGTGAGTTGGATCTTGCTGAAGTAAAAACGTAAACAATTGAAGAAATTCCTAGAAAGCGAATGCAAGAGAGGGGAAGAAGAGAGTGAAAGAGTAATATGTTTAGGATAGAACAAGATTCAGAAATGACTATGATTGTTAGGGATTTTAGATAAATGTTCAAGATCAAAACAAAGAAACCCAATAAAAAAGCCATCATAAGAACCTAAAAATTATAACAAAGTCACACGAGCCGAAAATGAATAGTACAAATGAGTTTTAATGAATAGTAGGAAGCTCCAAATCTTTTATTTTTTTATTGTTGTTATTTTATTATTTTAATTTTAGCAATTACTATTATTGTTTTATTCATAAAATAATCCCTTTTCTCAAAGAGATCATTTTCTTTGATTTTTTTACATTGTTTAAGAAAATTATTAATCGATATGTCATATCACTATTTTTGTTCATATTTTTGTAAAATATATTTTTTTGTTAAAATTGTCAGTCATCTAATTTAATCATGCATTATATAAAACTAATATTAATTTTTTTAAGGTGGTAAATCAAAGAAAAAATTATTAAGCTAATTAACCATAAGTTTAAAAAATTATGAAAAAATAACATACTAATGAAAATATTTTATTTTAAAAATTTCAGCATGCAGCAAAATCTCTATAAACATGAATATTTTTCACATAATAAAAAATTTCCTTCAAAATTTTTATATTAAAAGTATTTGTATATATAAGAGAAAAGTATAAAAAATATTGATTTTTTTTACTAGTGAAGAACAAAAAAGAAAAGAGAAAATTGATTTTTTTTTTATCAATTAAAAGTATTTTAGGAAAGTGTATTATTTACAATTTTTATTAAATAAGCATTTTAATACATATATAAATAAATAAGGAGATAATCTGTATGAGACAAATAAAGAAAGTATTTATTTTAGACTTCAATTATAATGTAGATATTGTAAAGTTATTCTCAATAAACTTCTCGCAAACCAATAGAAAAGAAAGAAAGAAAAAACCACAATTTATTTGATTTATATATCAGTGAAATTACTATTTTTTATTCAACAAGAAAAAAGAAAAAAACCACACAAATAATTTGACAAGATTTTAAAAGTTGGCTTAGCTATATATATATATATGAGGCTAAGATGTGGATATAAAAGTTCTCAATGTTTTTAATAAAAATATACTCAAAACTCAATACACGAATTTATTGCAATTTTAAAACTCTACCAAACAATTTGATTGACCATTAACAAAAAAATAAAAAAATAAATAAAAAATAATTCTCCAATCCTAAAAACATCTAGTTCCTCATGCGAAGCTCAAGTGTATGAAATTTTCATCTTTCTTCCTCTGCGAATAATTTTTTTTTTTTTTTTTAATAACAACAATTTTGCTTCTATTTTCTTTCTGAGCAGCCATTTTTTATTTTTCGGGAAAAGAAGAACGAATTTCCGTATTGGTAAAACCAGTAACGTACGTTATTACTTACCATAATTTACATCACGAAAAAATAGAATTTGTTTGATCTAATTGAACTGAAAAGGGGAAGTAAAACAAAGAGATAAACGTGAGTCACACGTGGTGAAATATAAACGGTCTAAAAAAGCAACGCGTCTACGTAGCAAATCTATGTACTATTACCCACAGAGAGATGGACATGTCATAGGAAAGGCCCGCTGTTTTTTTTTTTAATTAATAAAATTCTCTTTAAGATCCTTCCTTATATATATATATATATTGCCCATCCTCTCCGTGATCAAATCTCTCTCCCTGTTCACCATTTCTCATCTCTTTTTCAAGATTAAGAAAACAAAAGATTTAGGTTTTTTACGTTGAAGATTCTGCATTAAAGTTTCTGTAGTATTTTAAAGACATTGTTCTTTTTCTTCCGATTGAGCTTTTCTCGTAAGAGGTACCATCTCCTTCTCTTTCTTCTTTTTATGGGTTTGTTTATTGTTTCGAAATTTTTATACAATAAACATTGTGGCATTGTGGGTTTTTTTTTTCAATTTGGCCTTTGATTGGCTTGTGAGTATATTTTAATTTGCAATCGTAATAGAATGGCAGGTTTCTTTTGCTGCCTATTTTGGAATGGTGAGAGGAATTGTAAATTTATCGGATTTGTTATTGTCTCTCTTTAAAAATGCCCTGCGTTAATTAAAATAATAGGGAAGTTATTTGTATGCAATTTGTCAAGCTGTTATTGCTTTTATATATTTATATATAAAGCAATATATTGGATTTACTTGTATGTTTCTTTCGAAGTTGTGTTTGATATTTTGTGACTAAAAGAGTTTATTTCTTCTGATAAAAATGGTTAATGAATTTTTATGTTTTTCTTTATCTCAAGTTTTAAAGGATGATAGGTTCTTCTTGGGTGTATATATATATATATACACACATACATCTTGGATTTACTTGTATGTTTCTTTCGAAGTTGTGTTTGATGTTTTGTGACTAAAAAAGTTTATAAAGCATTTTGCTTTCTTCTGATAAAAATGGTTACCGAATTTTTATGTTTTTCTTTATCTTAATTTTTAAAGGATGATGGGCTCTTCGTGGGTGTCAAGATCTGTATATTATTTTCTTGATTTTATATGTTAGGGGGAAAACTAGCGCTTTGGAATCAATTTAATTAGTACCCTTTTGACACTTTTGATGTGAAAGAATTTCAATGCCTTATAAATCAGTTTAATTGTAATAGAACCCAATTCATGGCCTAACCATTTATTTTTCAGTTTTTTTTAGACCAGAAATTTGTAATTTAGGAGCACATTAGGTTATGAAAGTTATTGGATTGCTCTAACTGGCCCTCTGATCTGAAGGTGCTAGATATGTAAGATTGGTGAACTCAACATATATTATTCTGCAGCTGTTCTAGGCATCAACCTCTTGATCTCTTAATTTGTTTGGAAGACTGATAACCCATAGTTTTGTTTTGTCTAATATTTTGGTGGGTTGAGAAATCTTTGAGCATGGCTCTTCGTTTGATTAATTTCTAGCCAGCTCTTTGTCCTTTTGTTGTAGTCTACTTCAAAACTTTAACCTTTTGCTGTTCGGAACATTAACTCCTCCGTTCTTATTTGTTTGTGCTTATTTGGATGCTAACTTATCTGTGTTTGAAACTTTAAATATCTGATCTTTGGGTAGGAGTGTTATTGGCAATTGAACTCTATTGCATATAGCAGCTCTTTTTTTCTCTGGAAAAATTCTTTTTTCTTTTGTTTTCTCCCAATAGATGGTTTTTGCTGTATGTTTCTGTGTCTCTCGTGCATCGTCACACACACACACACTGAATGGTCTCTATGAATATTTTGATTGATATGCTAAGAAACCTCTCTTTTTAATGCAGAACGTGTTGATATGGAACAACGCTTCTTTGATCATGAGGCACGTTTTGAATCTGAGGAAGATGTTGGACTTAAGCAGAAAAATAAATCGATCCCAGCCCCAGCAGCAGTCTCAGACAGTGATAGTGGCTGTTTTGAATGCAACATTTGCTTAGACTCAGCACATGATCCTGTTGTCACCCTCTGTGGTCACCTATATTGCTGGCCATGCATGTACAAATGGCTCCATGTTAAAACCTCCTCCCCTGATGCTGGTCAGCAGCAGCCGAGCTGCCCTGTCTGCAAGGCTCACATTTCTCCAAATTCATTGGTTCCCCTTTATGGCCGCGGTCCATCCCCATCAGAATCAAAATCCAAGGAGACCCCAGTGGATGCAGTCATACCCCGTAGGCCACTCCCTTCTGGGTTGAATACTGTGAATACTAATACATCACTTCAAAGTCGGCAACTTCATTCAAATTTTTTCAATCCACAGTCTCAGTCGTTTCAACACCAACAATACTTCCATGATCCTTATGGAGGTTATGGAGCCATGGCCTCTTTAAACCATGGGGGTACCGTGATGACTGGTTTTTTCAATCCAATGATAGGGATGTTCAACGAGATGTTGTTCGCAAGGATTTTTGGAACATCAGTCACGAATATGTTTGCTCACCCTTACACAAATGAACTCATGAGAAGTAGCAATCCTAGGATGAGGAGGCAGGAAATGCAGCTTGACAAGTCTCTAAATAGAGTGTCCATCTTTCTTCTTTGCTGCATTATTTTGTGCCTTCTCTTGTTTTGACTAGGTCATCTTTCAGCTTTTGTATATAGGTGCTGAACATACACATTGCAGGGACAATCCGCAGTAAAAATTTTGCTGGAAACTCTCTCTTAAGAGATTTCCTCCACATTTTTGCATTTAATTATTGCCATTCTTTACTTGGATTTCCCATTGTAACTGTTAGTTTCCCTGAGTTGTATTAGATTCTTGATTACTAGATGTAAACACGGCTCATTTTGTATTTTCCTTCTAGGGGAATTGCCATTTCTAGTTCAATTATTTCTTATCCATATAATGTCAGAGAGGATTTTTCTTAGTTTCTCTCTACTTGAATTTTTTTCCTGCATGGACAAGTTTGTATTGGAGTCTCCATCATGTTGAGACGTCAGGGGCAAGATGCTCGAAAGTCATCAAGTCTGCATACGACTTTGAAGCACCCTGGTTCCATATAGCCCTCATTCTTTGCCTCCCTGTATAATCAGAGTTTTGAAGCCATCCGTTTCCTTTTAACTATCTGGTTTTTTAATTGATGTACATTCTTTTATATTCTCCCACAGATTTAGTAATTTGCAAGATAGGTTTCCATATAGTCACAGCATTGGTCAACTTACGCTGCGGGTTGATAATCTACATTATGTTATTAGTGAATTAAAATATATAAAATTAAATACAAAAGAAAATTTTCATCTAATTTTATAATTTATAATTTATTTTTCTTTATGTTTATATAAATTTTGTAATTTAAAAAAAATGACTTCTTGTTTAAAATTAATTTCTTCAATTTTCTTTTTTATGAAAATTTTCATCAAATTACTTTTTATGTTTTTTATATAATTTTATTTGTTAATAAATATGATTTATTTTTCTCTATATAAGGATTAAATTTTTTTTTATAATTTTTTTTAAAATAAAAATTAATTAAAAAATAAAATATATGTATTTTATTTACTTATTCTTTATATAAACAAAATTTATCAAAATTAATTTTATAATTATTTTTATTATAGTCTATTAAGTTCAATATATTTTTTACAACTTAATTTTTTTTTAAATATTTCTCGATTTATGTTGCATACCCCGACTTACTAAATATGATTGTGAGATATATATAATTTGAGATAATTGGTATTATCAAAAACTAACTATGCATATATTAACATAAAACCAATCCTTTCATATTATTTTTTAATATTATAAAATTAATTTCATAATTTTTAATCAAAATTTTATATTTAATTTATTCTTCTTTATTTTTTTAAAATAAATTTTGTGGTAAAAAAATAAAAATAAAACACGATTTGTTACTTTCTTATGCATTCATTCTTAAATAAAAATCAGTAATAATCTAATTAAAAAATTTTCAAAATATCTTAATAGTTTTTGCATAAGATTGCTAGAAATAATTAATATAAATTTTTTTATAAAGAGTAACAAATGAATCTTTTTTTTCTTGTTCAAAACCAATGAGAAAATTATTTTTTAAAAAATATATACATTTAATTTATATATATTTATTTAGAAAATAATCAATAATATTAGTATAAAATCTACATTTCAATTATTATATGATTCTTTTAAAATATTATTTTAATTATTTTATTTAAAATAAATTAATGTTACAATATTAAAAAAAATAATTGCAAGCGATCGGTGTTATATATGTTGATGCATAGTTAAAGTGTGCAATATAAATTAATTTCTAATAAAACTAATGATTCTAATTTATTTTTATACATTATGAACATACTTAGGGAGTTAGATCGTGTAATATAAATTAAAAAATATTTTTTAAAAAAACTTAAATTGTACGGAATATATTGAAGTTAATATATTGAAGGATCATGCATCCTATGGAGGTGCGGAATAAACAAAAAAATCCTCCATATAAGGGCTCAAGATCAAGTCGTTGAATCTACTAACCATACATACATGAATTTAAAGCAAGGATCAAGGATTACCTCTTGTAGCGTAAATTTTCCTTTTTCGGAAAAGTTGTCCAAGTGTCCGGCCTCTATTGATGATTCACGCAATCCAAGTATCCACAAAGAAGCACTCAAAATCAATGGGGTGCTAGCTCCACCTTTTCCGATTAAATATTTCCTATAGAAATCAATTTTGGGCAATTTTGCGACAATCTTAAAGGATAAAAAAAAAAAAGTATATCTTGTTAGGGTTTAGGAGAAATCTATTTTCTCCTTATTTTTCTCTCTTGCCTCTATGCCCTACTTTATTTTTAAGGCTAGCCAAAATTTTTCTTTCCTCCTTTTTCTCTTTGGTCGAATACTCTCTCTCTTCCCTTATCTTCGCATCTCTCCTCCTATTTATAGGGAGAGAGTTTTCTTATCCTCAAAGGACAAGGAGATGGGCGACAACAAGTCCTTTTAAGACTCTAGATTGTTACTTCCTTATCCTTCATGGATGAGGAGTTATTTTATATATGGACTATTTGATTATTATCTTTAAAACATTCAACCTTATCCAATAAGGTTGATGTTTATCCTCCCACCAAAATATCTTAAGGCTTTTAATTAAACCTTAATGGGTCAAAACCATTTTATCCCAATTAATTTATTTGGACTATCCAAATAAATAATTTTAGATTATTTTAAGCGAGGGTTGATATTAGAAAATAAGTTTTTAAAATACCCTTTAACCTAAATTAGGAAACTTCTCTCCTTTTAGGTTCTTTATTTTTAAATTTGAAACTAACTTCCAAATTAGGAAACCGACTTCTAAAATAGGAAACTTTTCATTTTATGAAACTTATATACTTGGAAACTTTTTTCAATATCTTTGCTTCTCATTTATAATGTGAATACCTAAACTTGTGTGTGTGACTTAATAGGCTCCTAGATATGTTGGCAATGTATCAAGAACAAAAAAAAAATCCTCTTTTATCTCTTGATACATAAGCCAAGATTGGTCTCTAGCAAGGCATCATGACTATCCAATTTTTTATAAGGATTAGTTAATCCATCATTATCTTTCACTAGCATGGTTACCATACAATTCATTTCACATATTAACTTATCATACCGTGATCTCGTACTTGGTTATAAGTCTTATTAGATTATGATCATACAAATTTTCTTCGGTGAGAATGTCTTAGCTCTTAGAGTAAACTAACTATGCTCTATTGATGTACTCCTATTGTGGCCACAGATTTCTCGAGCGAGACATTTATCGAAGTGCAATGTGCTAACTCCTTTAGCATACAAGGAACGACATGTCCCATCTTAGTCATACACCTATCTCTATTGGATTCCTAATGCATCCAACGAATTGCCCACGTGCAACCCATTAATGGGTTCATCGAAACGAGTGTCAAAGTGTATAAGCTCTCTAATGAGTTAGGCTGTGATAACTTCAAGTCTAAGGACCATTTGTACCCATCTTGTATGAGATTCCCATAGACGAAAATCAAATAGGTTCTTATGACGAGTCAAGTCCGGTGATATGTTCTCTAACATAAATCACCTAAGTACTTGCTTTGGTATTACCATACCAATAGGTGTGAGATCCTACTTGCTATCATCTAGCATGAGCATAATACTCACAAGTCTATCCACATATCGTAAATATTCTTTCTTGATAATGCTACGACTTGGGATGTTTAATCATATCATTTATATGATTAGTGTTTGTCTCACATCTTTCAATCAATCACTATTACAAATGCATATCATAAAGACTTCTATCTAATTTTACTGAATTTATTAACATGTAAACATAAGAATCAATATAATGACTTCTTTATTATTATTAAAATAAATGATGCAATAATACATTAACATGAGCCCATCTAAAAATGGTTGGATCTTGAACACCAACACTAACATATATTACAATAAAAACAACTATAAAATTAATTTTGATAAATTTTGATTATATAAAGAATAAGCAAATAAAATATATGAATTTTATTTTTTAATTGATTATTTATTTTTTTTAAAAAAACTTATTCTAAACTCCATACATAAAAAAACATAAATTATATTTATTAACAAATAAAATTATATGAAAAGGAAAAATAAAAAAATTAAGTTGATGAGAATTTTCATAAAAAATGACAAATTCAAGATCAACTTTAAATAATAAGAGTAATATAATCTGATATATATATATATATTCTAAAATCTAAAAAAACATCATATATATTTCATAATCATCAGCTTGTATGAAAAACTAAAAAAGAATAATTTATTTTTCATAATTTTTGTATCTAATTCAATAACAAAAAAAATTAAAATAAATTGCAAAAAAAAAAAAAAGAAGGCAATCATGTATGCTTGGTCACCAAAAATATTTTTGAAAATATTAAAGATCAAAATGGAATGCAAATGCCAAATTAGCGAAAATACCGCTACATGATGAAAATGAATAATACACATGGATATGAGCAAATAGCACACATGAGTTTGAATGAACAGTATCATGAATAGTAACTCATCCTAGATTTTTTTTTTAACTGGAATTTGAAGAAAAGTCCCCTTTTTGTTGTTTCATTTTTTCGATTTTTTTATGTTGTTTTGAACAAACACAGCGTGCAAAGATGCATTTCCAGAATTTGAAAGTTCAGAGGGGATAATCGACAAACTTAGAATGTCAATTAGTCAGGATCACATGCACTCGTTGTTCTTAATCAGGGGCAAATTCTAAGGAAAATAAGAATGCCACTCTGGGTTATATTAGACCGTAAATTTTTTTCCATGTTCTTGACTTCTAAGTTCTGCAATCTGTTTAATCAAAATATGTCCTTAATTGCCTTAATTGGTTTCCTTAGGATCTATAATTACTCCGTTGGGCGTCCAGTGGCCCAAATCTTTTTTCGCTGTTTAGAAGTTCTTTGACCACCAAACTGAGAGTGAGAGGTACTTCTTTCCAAAGCAATTTCTAAATGCTTTAATGTTCCTATTAGAAGTTTAGTTGTCGGTAAACAAAATCTGAGAGGTATTTGCTCACTTTTTAATCTACACCTTATTCTTTTTTTTTTTTTCCATGTCTTATGCTTCACTCATGCA